GTCCTCCCCTCCAAGTGTCATTACGGCCCAGCAGGGAGCTGATCTTACTTGTCTTCTTGGAAACAATGAAGTGATAGAGTTAGTGTCCCACTTTGACCAGCAAGATGTCAGCAGGGCCCTGCAGGGAGCAGAACCCCGACCCTACCCAGCTGCAATGAAGCAGAGAGTCAATGCCCAGCCTTCACCAGGGGGAGTGCCTGCTTTAAAAAGAAAGAAGATAAAATAGGATTCAGAGTCTCATAACATAACATCCGAAATGTACAGGCAGCTCTCAAGTAATAAACATCCGACTTCTGTACAACTCACACTTATGAATGGAGGCTAGTGCAGTAAGTCCCCAAGTTATAAATATCTCACTGACATATGACTTGCACCTACAAAAGGACACTATTACAGGTAATAGGGAAATGTATCTGTTCCAACTTACATACCAATTCAACTTAAGAACAGACCTATAGAACCTATCTCATTAGTAACCTGGGGATTGCCTGTAATAAAAATCACTCATGACACCAAGAAACAGAAAAATCACAAAAATGAATGAGAAAAGACAACCGATGTGCCAAGGACATGCCAACACGGACACAAACAACATGTTGGATTATCTGGCAGGTAAAGGCAATCATAAAATTGCTTGAACAAGCTACCACACATTTTCTTGAAAGAAATTAAAAAACAGAAAATCTCAGCAAAGAAAAAGAAGTTGTGAAAAAGAACCAAATGGCAAGCCCAGAAATGAAAATTATAACTGATACAAAAAGCCTACGGGATGGGCTCAGTAGCAGAGTATAAAGTCAGTGAACCTGAGGATAGGTTGATAAAATCTGCCTATTCTGAACAAGAGAGAAAACAGATTGAGACAAAAACAAACAATCTCAGAGACATATGGGATAGTAGCCAAACAGCACATTCCCACAAGATGAGAAAGGAGAAAATGGACTAGAAACGGCAGTCAAAGAAATAATGGCTTAAAAACTTGGCAATTTGGGCGAAAGACAAAACTGCAAATTAAAAAACCTGAGTGTTATAGACCGAATGTTTGTGCCTCCTAGAATCCAGATGCTGAAGCTCTCATCCAAAGTAGTATTTGGAGGCAAGCGCCCCCATGAACAGGATTAGTGCCCTTATTAGAACAGACACGAGACACATACTCTCTCTCTCTCCCCCCACTGTGAGGATATGTCAAGAAAGCAGCCGGGGAGAGAGTCCTCCCCAGACATGAACCTAGCAGCACCTTCATCTTGGCTGCTTCTCATCCTTCAGAACTGCCAGAAATCAATGTTTTTAATTTAAGCTGCCTGGGCTATGCTAATTTGTGATAGCAGCCTAAGCTAAGACACTGAATGAAACACAAATAGAGTAAATCCAAAGAAATTTTTCTAAGACACATCATAATTTCTTCTGAAAACTGACGAAAAAGAAAAAAACACTTGGGAACAGCCAGAGAGAAAATATGCATTACTTATATGGTACCACCAATTCTCATGGCAATGGATTTGCCATCTGAAACCCCATAGAACAAGGAAGTGGCCCCACAGTTTGTAAATACTGAAAGAAAAGACCTTGTTAATCACCAAGCCAGTATCTTCCTTCCTTCAGGATGAACAGGAAAGAAAGACACTTACAACTGAAGGAGAAGTAAAAGATTTATTGTTAGCAAACCTACTCTTTAGGATGTCTAAATGAAGTTCTCTAAACAGCAAGGAAATAGTGACAAAATACAGGCTTGGACCATTATAAAAAGAACATTGGGATGGGCAGGAATTGGGGTACCAGGAATGGAGGACCTGCAACCTTCTAATTTCAAGATTATTGAAGACTCCACACCAACATTCTTAGAATAAGTGAATTCAGCAAAGTTGAAGGATACAGGATCAAGAAACAAAAATCAGTTGTATTTCTATACTCTAGCAATGAACAATCCCAAAATGCAATTTATAAAGGTTCCATTTACAATGTAATAAAAAAGAATAAAATACTTAGTAAAATTTTTTTTAGAGACATCATCTAGCTCTGTCACCTAGGCTGAAGTACAATGGCACAATCATTGCTCACTACAGCTCCTAGGCTTAAGCCACCCTCCTCCCTCAGCCTTCCACGGAGCTGGGACTACAGGTACGTACCACCATGCCCAACTATTTTTTTTTTCTTGTAGAGACAGGTTTCAGGTTTGTTTAGAATTCCTGGCCTTAAGAAATCCTCCTACCTCACCCTCCCAAAGTGCTGAGATTACAGGTGTGAGCTACCCTTTCCAGCCACTTAAGAAAAAATTTAACTAAGGATGTTCAAGACCAGTACAGTGAAAATTATAAAACACTGCTTGAAAGCAATCAAAGACCACTTAAAAAACGGAAAAACACCGAGTATTCATGGATCCAAAGACTTAATATTATTAATATGGTATTACTTTCCATGGTATACTTCAGTATAGTATGATATACTATAGGGTATAGAATTAGGCTTATTTTTAATAGTAACTCTCAAAGTAATCTACAAATTGAATACAATCCTGTCAAAATCCCAATAGCCTTATGTGTGTGTGTGTGTGTGTGCATGCAGAAATGGATAGGTTGGTTCTATGATTCATATGAAATTGTAAGGTTCAAAAAATAGCCAAAACAGTCCTTGGAAAAAAAAAAAAAGAGGACTCACATACATCCCAATTTCAAAACTTACTATAAAGCTATGGTAATCAAAACAGTGTGTTACTGACTTAGATAGACATGTAAGTTAACAGAATAGAATTAAGAGTCTAGAAATAAACCCTTGCATCTTAGGTCATTGATTTTTGACAAAGGCACCAAGACCATTCAAAGAAGATACACTCTTCAGAAAATGATGCGTGGACAATGAGATGGCCATATGCAGAAAATTAAAATTAAACTTCTACTTCACACCATATAAAAACTCAATAGAAATGGATCACAGACCTAAAGATAAGAGCAAAAGGTACAAAACTCTTAGAAGAAAACAGAAGTAAATTTCCTTATTTGGGTTTGGTAAAGAATTCTTAGATATAACATGAAATGCACAAGCAAGAAAAGAAAAAAGATGAATGGATTTCATCAAAATTACAAACTATAGGAACCCACCACAATGCCTGACTAGTTTTTTTTCTATTTTTAGTAGAGATGGAGTCTCCTTCTTGCTGAGGTTGGTCTCAAACTCACGAGCTCAAACAATGCACCCGCCTCAGCCTCTCAGATTGAGATTACAGGCGTGAGCCACCACACCACCTTCACTAGGGAAATGTACGTCAAACCACATGAGGCACCACTCATACCCAGTAGGATGGTAAGATTAAAACAACAACAACAACAAAACAAAACAGGAAACAAATGCTAGGGGGGGCAGATGTAGAAAACTTCCAGCCCTTATGCATTGCTGGTTGGAATGGAAAATGGTGCACCCGCTGTGGAAAACAGTTTGGCCATTCCTTTAAAAAGTTAATCATAGAATTACCCTATGGTCCAGTGATTCCACTCTAGGTATATATCTAAAAGAACTGAACATATGTATTCAAACAAAAATTTATATACCGGTCCCGGCAGCACTGTTCATAATAGTCAAAAGGCAGAAACAACCCAGATATCTATCAACAGATGAATGGATAACGAAAGTAAAATAAATACTGTTTATTCACATAAGGAATATTAGTTAGCTATAAAAATGAATGAAGTTCTGATACATGCTGCAACATGGATGAGCACTGAAGGTCACACATCGTATGACTCCGTGTATATGTAAAACCCAGCACAGGTAAATCTGCTATCTGGACAGAAAGGTCAGCGTTGCTGGGCTCTGGGAAGGGGGAATGGCTAGTAACTGCTTTATGAGTGTGGGTTTTCCTTTTGAGGTGATGACAACATCTTGGAACTTAGCAGAGGTGATGCTTTCAAAATATTGTGAGTTGTTCACTTTCATGTGGTTAATTTTATGTTTTGTGAATTTCACCTCAATTCTAAAACAGAGAGTACTCAGGGATGAGGTGAGGCTTGGAGATGTATACTCCACAAATACCTGATAGTAAAAATGTTGCTGTTTATAAAGGGAAAGAACAAGACACTCTTGCCAAACATTGGATAGAAAGTCTGGTGTCTATGCCATTAAATCATTTTTTAATAGGCTGTCAGTTTCAAGCAAAAAATCATGGTGTCAAAATGTCCCTAAAGACAAAATCTAATGGATAACATAATTACATTTAATTAATTTAGTTAAGAGTGTCATATCAAGATGTCCTGCACCTCTGTGACAGGACATGCTAATGTCTCTCATAGAGTCTGGCACACAGTAGGCACTCACTAAACAGCAGTCACCATGGTGAGGTCCCTGAGGGCAGGGAGCCCACCTTCTCCCACTTCTCTGCTGCCTTGCACAGGGCAGGCCATAGGCAGAGACACACTACAGGGAAGGAACAGGGTGCTCTGGCTTCTGTTGCTGCAGGGCACACACTGCTAGGTGTCTCTCCTGTAGGCCAGGAGGAGGCAGACACAATACAGATACAACACAGACTAGTGAGTGGACGTGGGCTGTGTGGATGCAGGCAGCTACCTTAAGCTGAGTTTCTACAATGCCATTTGTAGGACAGAGAGCATACCAGCTGCTCCAGCCCACAGGCCAGTTGAGGAGCAAGAACCAGGTGAAAGCACTTTTTAAATGTAGCGAGACATCTGGGAGCTCAACAAAAACACCTTAGAGCAGTGGTTCTCAGCCTGGTAAATCACTGGGGAGCCTGGGCAGAGTCTCAGCCCCAGGCCGTGCTCCCAGCCTTAGTGCAGCAGTCATGCGTGTCCTTCCTCCTCCTCCTCCTCCTCCTCCAGCTCACTCTCACCATACACATAGGTGTCTCTCTTGTATGGAGGGCCCGGGCGGCCCAGGTCTCATCCAGAGGGCCCAGCACAGGAGAGAGCAGAGGGGGAAGCCCAGGAAATGACAGGCAGCAGCCGAGGAGGAGGGGGACCCGGTTATGCCTGAGTACACCTGGGCCCTGGACTACTTACTTTCTCCCCATCGTTGTGCACTGTCCCTGCGTGCCTTCTCCTTTCAGCCTGGGACTGATTCTCCAACTTCTTTCTCTGTGTCTTCTCCAGCCACAGGTCATCCAAGCTGATGGGTGGGCCGTGAGGGATGCTCCCAGGCAGTGAAAGTGTCTGTGTCACTCTGCCAGTGGTGGGGCATGATCCCTGAGCTGGCCCAGTGTGAAAAGCTTTCTGGCCATGGGAGAGACAGGGCTTCTCACCCGGTGGTTCCTCCCAGGGCGTGTGGCTCTAGAAAGTGGAGAGAACATGTCAGAGATGGGACAGAGGAGGGATCAACTGGGGACACAGGGCCTTCTGCTGCCCTGGTTTATTTGGGTCTAACTTCGGGTGACCAGATTTTAACATCGGTAAAGCGGGACAACATGGCCGGGGGTGGGGCGGGGCGGGGCAGGGCAGGGCCTGACAACAATGCAAACTTTGATAAGCAGTTCTCAATAATCACTTCTCAGCAATTATTTGTTATTATTACAGTTTAACATTATAAAATTAACAAAAATAATATAAAACTCATATTCTGGCGAAATAGCCACATGGCAGCTGAAAACCGTATATTCCCTTCATGTTCTCCCGCCCGTTCGTGCATTCTTTCCAAAAATCAGGACTTTTTAAAAACACCGGGAGATGCAGGACAAATTGTTCAAAAGCGGGACGTCTGGTCACCCTAGTCTAACTGTATGTTTTGGTTAATTCTCAAAAGACAGAGCCTAGTGAAACACTTCGTTCACAGAAATTTTGGAAAATGAAGGTTAGGAACAAATCAAATCTTGTTTCTGTTAAAACATCTATTTTCATGACTGTTTAAAAAAAATCCAGTTTTCTAATTTGATCAAAGAATTAGGTCTTAAAAGTAATTACTAAACTTGGCACACTCATTAGAAATACTTTTTAAAGGTCAGTGATTGCAGTGAAAGCTTTACTTAAACAATATCCTTAGAGAACAGAATTCAAGTAGGAACACATTTCAGGTACTAATGCAGTGCGTGCACGTCCCCACCTCAGCCAGGCTATCCCGCGGTCCAGGTTCCAGTTCTGAACTCAGGCACCCTGACAATTTCAGAATACAGTGTGTACATGCTAGCAGGATAATTAGGCTTGTGATGATATCAGCAGCATTTTAGATCTGTGGAATGAGCCTCTGGGCAAAGAAACCCTCTTCTTCCCACGTGCTGTCCCCTCTGACACCCTCGACCCTCCCACAACCTTCCCAAGTGTGACCTCTGAGCGGTGGCACCCCTAGCGCTCTGGGCATCCTGTTCATCCTGCTGCTGGAAACACAGGTGCAGTTTCTTTTAACCATTTCAAGAGTCTCCCTTAAAAAATATGCACAGACTGGAAGCCTAGGAAGGCTGAGCCTGACAAAGCAAGACTTTGATCCTTCCTCCTAGACAAGGAAAGGGGAGAGAGGCCGTGGCGGGCTGTCACAGGTGGACCACACCAGCCAGTCCTCTGTTCCACTGCAGTCTCAGCGGGCAGGGACTGTGTCTGCAATAATCTCTTGCGACATGTCAGCTGGAGGGAAGTGGGTATGCTCACTCAATGTCAGATCTTGGGTTTTTGCCTCTTAAACAGCTTTTTTCTGAACTAAATAAGTTCTTATTTAAGTACCTTGATAGAATTTATTTTTGTGGTAGAAATTGTAGGGAGTTGTTATTCTAGAAGTTATTAAAAGTTCTCTGGGAGATTAAATTATTTTGCATCATAATTTTCTGCAACATTAAGATTTAGTCACATATTCTCTGTTTAATCTGACGTATTCTTTAAGAATTTGAACTGTATATATGTACAGTGAGAGTGAGCTGAGGAGGAGGAGGAGGAGGAAGTATATGTGCCTAATTGCTACAGGACGGCTGGGAGCACAACCCGGGGCCCAGGCTCTGCCCAGGTTCCCCCATGATTCTACTGGGCAGCTGAGAACCAGTGATCTGATGTGTTTTTGTTGAGCTCCCAGATGTCGCTCTACATTCAAAAAGTGCTTTCATCCGGTTCTTGCTCCCCAACTTGCCTGTGGGTTGGAGCAGCTGGTATATTCTCTGTCCCACAAATGGCTTCATAGAAAGCTCTCAGAGAACTTAAGTGAGCTGCCTGCATCCACACAGCCCAGGTCCACTCACTAGTCTTTGTATCTGTCCTGCTGTTCCCAGCTGGTAAGCACACCTCTGTAACTAGGCAGTGACCACTCCTCAGACCCTTTTATAGCCCTCAAAGTTCCCCAAAAGGGAAAGGATGCTAATAGAGCCTGTCTGCTGGTAAGGCTCCCTGTCATGCATTTTATGCACACTCAACATGAAAGCTGGGTGAGTGACATAAGCCACCTGTGAGGAGGAAGAGCCACCCTCACTTCCACACCTTCCACGAGCACAGCTCACTACCACCAGAGTGAAGCTCACTTTCCCAACTAGAAGAAACTTCCTACTTGGACTTTTCCAATATATTGCCCTGGAGCTTTCCACTAGGCTGCACCTGGGTGTCGCCGGGATCTGTTAAAGCCACCAGAGATGGTTTTATCCACCCTGTGTTTCATCAGCACTTTAGAACCCCAGCCCTTTCACTGCATGAATGTGGGCCTTTGGAGTGAGCCCCGGCTGGAGACATAGGTGTCCTCAGTGAGAAACTTTGCCTTAGTTTTCTCCACTTAATGGAAAAGAACCAACTCCCCTCCTGCCCCTGAGCCAAGGCACCTGACTAGGTCAGTGAGATGTGTGGCAATAGCTTAGTACCTGCCTATGCTCCTGGGGACTTGTCAGACCAAAGGGAAGGGACCCTCCAAGGCTAGCTGGGGAGTCAGGCAGACTGGTCAGACCCTGGGGTGGAGTAAACGTGGGTCTGAATGAGGAGCTGTCATTGGTTAAGTACCTACTGCCTATCCTGGTGTTTGCAAAAAAGGCAAAATTAAAAAATAGTGAGACAATGGCAGGTGAAAAATTTCAAGAAAATCTCGAGAAGGGTGAGTGGATGTAGGGGCAGCGAACGCCACTGTGTGTAGGAAGCACCGAGGCAGGCAGGCGGGCTGTGGAGGAAGAGCTCAGAGGCTTGGCTTTGAGATCTGTGCGTCAAAGTGTGGCCTCCGTTAGCATCCCCAGGCCAGATGGCCAAATGCCCACTTCCCTTTCCACTCCCACCCCCTCAAACTGCAGTCAAGATCAAACCCCAGGGACTTAAGGCCTAAAGAACCAAACAAGAGTCTCCAGACTCTAGAGACCATAGGCTTATGGGTAAAACAGGTGGACAGGTCTGGGATGTAAACAGGGCCAACAAGGAAATCTGCACAGTGAACAGGGGCCACTCCTCACCTGCTTCACTCATTCCCAGGATCAGCCTACTGCTCCTTACTAAGCAACTGGAGGATACTGCTCCAGAGAAACGGCCTCACCTCAGAGAAAGGCCTCTCCACACTGGTGTAAAGCAAGCCCGGTTTCAGGCACCCTGCTCACTAGCTGATTAGCCCCACACATGCCCACAGGACAGCTAAACAGACACCGGGTACCTGCCTCTTAACAAATATGAAGTTCACCTGAAGGTTGCCAGACATTTAGGAAAAACCTTCAACACACTAGAAAGGCCAAAACAAACAAACAGACAGAAAAACCAATCAGGAAACAGAAAATAGAAAGGATAGAAGAAAACCTCAAAGGAGCTAAAATTAACAACCTTAGAAAGAAAAAGGAAAACACTGAAATCATTAAACAAGAGCAGGATGCTGTGGGAAAAAAATGAAAAAGGGCTTCCAGTTCTGGACAAGATGGCATAGACACCCTTCTCCCTAGTCGTTTACTAAGTACAACTAAAAACTTAAGGTACTGTATATAAAACAAAGATGTGAAAACTCAGAATGGTGGAGAGAAGCAAGCAGACCAGCTGTGGGCACAAGGAATGACACACACACCAGTGAGTTCCCCAGGTTTCCTTTAGCCTCATATAGTCCACTCAGCTGCTTCCTCTAGGACGATGAGTAGTCTTGTGGGAAGTGCTGCAGGGTTCAGACACAAATGCCCCAACAGAAGCCTGTCTTCTCTAGCTAAAGGACCAGTCTGGCAAGACAGCTGACTTTTAAACAGTAACTACCCTATTTGGGCCAAACTTTAGGTTAAAATGATGCAATATACACCACTTCTCCTCATACCCAGCAAACCAGGAGTGAGGAACTCCTAACCTCACTTGGCTGCCATGAGTCAGAAATAGCCCCCAGCCAAGGGGTGTGAGAGAAGGCTGAGGGGAAGCCAGGGGCCCCTCCCAGTGTTAGCAAGGTCCTTCCTCGTGGCATCGGTGAAGACGGTGTGGAGACATTCTCCCATCCCTGGGAGCAGTGCAAGTGAGGCATTGCTCCCTCCCCTGCCAGGGGGATGTTACAGGAAGCCCTGGTAGAGAGCCAGTCCTTCCCACTGCCCAGCATTAACAAGGCCTTCTGACGTTCTGCGATCAGTGGATGCTGAATGTAGAATCTTAACTCCCATCCCTGCCCATCAGCAATGAAACACCCATCCTTGAATCAGGTTGTCAACAGAGGCCAAAAGGGGAAGGTGAGATTTCAACTTACCCTGACAGTAATGAGGTAGTACCCCCAGCCCCCACTGGAGGGGTATCAGAGGTGCTTTGCTAATATAGAAGGTTTAAATGAGATACAGAGTACAGAATAAAATCTAAACTTACTTGTCATACCAAGAACAGGAAAAATCTTGGCTTGGCGCCTGTAGCTCAAGCCGTTAGGGTGCAGCCACATACACTGGAGCTGGTGGGTTTGAATCCAGCTTGGGCCTGCCAAACAATAGTGACAACGACGACCAAAAAAGAAAATAGCTGAGTGTTGTGGTGGGCACCTGTAGTCCCAGCTATTTGGGAGGCTGAGGCAAGAGAATCTCTTAAGCTCAAGAGTTGGAGGTTGCTGTGAGCTGTGACACCATGACATTCTACCCAGGGTTACAGCTTGAGACTCTGTCTCAAAAAAGAAAAATAAAAGAAAAGGGAAAATCTCAACTTGAATAAGGAAAGCCAGGCAACAGACACCAGCACCCAGAGGACACAGACGCTGGAATTATCTGAGTAAGAGTTAAAGCCACCATCTTAAACATGCATCAAAAAGAAATAAAAATACTCCTGAAACAATTGAAAAAACAGAACATCTCAGAAACTAGAAAATCTTAGCAAAATATAGAAAATATAAAGAATAAGTGGAAATCATAGAACTAAAAAATACAATAACTGAAATCAAAAGCTCAGTGGAAGGGTTCCCG